TCACATAATTACCCAGATAACCATGCAGTCAACCTGGCGGGTTATTTTTAACAATTCTGCCTAACCTTAGTGAATAGATTCAAGCAGCCAGTGGATGACAGTTCTGAGTCTGTTCAGTGGTTTAAAATGTAACGAATTGAAACGCGAGTGTCTGTACCCTCCTGCCAAGGCGAATTGGGAAGCTTTGTTAGTGGAAGAATAAACCTAAAATAGCAATTAGAGCTTCACCTGCTCTGCTTTGTCCCTTTTTGATCTTCAGAAGCTCCCCTATGTCCACCTTCCCTCCGACTCCCTGGACAGAACTGGATTGATGTACTCAGTTGGACTTCTGAACATCCTTAATCAGAATCCTCTTCTTAATTAACACACAGTAATTATTGGGTAATGACTTTTTTTAAATGCCACTGTGAATGTGTCCAGAGAGCAACACCAGTCAGTTTTAATGGAATTTAAATGCAGGCAGGACATTCTAAGAGTGATTTGGCGGTATGGCAGGCCGTACCCAGAGGTGCGGAGGGCCGTCCGCCTCGTTCCAAGGAATGTGAAAGGGCTCCAGCCCTGTGACCTGGGTGGAAATTTGAACTTGCCTAGTTGGGTGTTTTTTGATTTGAAGTTGGGGGGTGTGCTTTTTCTCTTCAGCATACAGAGAGCTTTGCAAGTCGGCGCGGTCAGCAGTGGGGAGGGGGAGGGGGAGGTAAATGACCCAAATGGCCGTCAACGCGGCGTTTAGCACATGGCTAACTGAATAAACAAGGTGACACTGTGGGCGGTCCTTTGATGGCAAGTGTGAGATTCCTCATGCTGGGCCTCTGAACTGGCCCGCTTGTGGTGTGGGGGTGGGGGGGCATCTGCACCCTGCAGCCTGGCTGTGTGCCACACCCCCCGCCTGTCTAAGTGCTTAGCATATGCCCTCATTCAGGGTGACTCATTGTACTCAGGGTGCCTTACGGTCTCCTGGTGCAGATGTGCACCTGCATGATCCCCCCCCCCTAGCTTGGAGGCGGGGGCTAATCTGTGCAGGGAACAGCCCCGGGACCTTGCGGCATGCGCCGTTCACGGGGACTTCATGACGTACGGTCAAGTCTGCCTTCAGCGTGTGTTTCTAGAAATCTGCACTGGGTAACACTTGCGTTCAACCAGGGGTGCTGTAAAGGGGTGTGATGGGGGGGGGAGAGTAATCCAAGGGCCCCTGAATGACGGGGCCCTAAAACATTTGGAACATAACTGGATTGGTCTGGGTTGGGGGCCGAATACAATATGCTTTCATGGGGCCCGACATCTCTGGCGGCTCCCCTGTGATCAACTCAAAGATGGCTTCTAGTGGCATGGTGCTTAGTTATTATAGAGACCCCTGATTATGCTTTTGTGTTGCTGGGGAGGTTGTGGGGCATCTCCCTCTGACACTGCTAAAAGGTTAGTATCGTAACATCAAAGAGACGAGAAAACGATACTATGAGCTGTGATGTAATTCGGACTAAAATCACCGCCATTGAATGTGCATGATGCCATTCAGACTGTTTACTGCTGCCATTCAATGCACTTAAGCCTTCAGTGTAACTAAGAAGTGACATAACAGTGAAATTTGTCATAAAATGGAGGGCTCGTTCTTTGAAGGGAAAAACGAAAATGGAGAAATTTCCTTTGACTGCCAACCACTTAATTTTTTCCATCTTTGTTTTCCGGCCCGCATGCTAAGTGATCAGGGTTATAATGGCTGGACACTTCGTCTCCTTGACATTAAGATAGTGTCAGTAGCGCAGCGGGAATGAAGCCAATGTCCGCCGTGGTTCCGACACACCAGCTCCTCGTGCAGGAATTAATTCGGCAATGATGGTTTTAGAAGTTTTGCGTTACTGTTGCTAAATTAGCATACCTTGCCAAAGGTAACAGGAAAAATAACATCCGGAAGAGTAAAATAACGAGACATTCTGGCTCCCAAGTCTTTGTTTTCTCCACTGTCAGTGAATGTGTCATGGACCCTTTTTTAAATTTATTTAAGGGGAAAAACATCAGGACACACTGACCTGCTTCATGTGGTCCTGAGGTCATTGCTGGGCGACTCGGGTTTTAAAAAGCCCCCTGTGTGGCCGGGCACTTTGGCTGGCCACCGCGATGCCGGAGAAAGGTCTCCATTCTGCCTTTGCTCATGTAATGCCTTAAAATAATCCCGAGCCAAGTGCGTAAGTATTTTTACAAACGAAACAAAACTTGTCTCTGCTCAGCTCTGGCTTGGCACAGTTCACTGAAATATCATCGTGGCTTTGATGAACAAGGGCCCTCGGGCCCTTGGTGCTTCTGCTTCCACGTCGCGCTGGCAGAGGGACGAGGATGAGCAGGCGGGTGCCTCTTGACTGACAGACACTTGTCATGTGACATTAGCCGTCACTAGGGCATGACAGGCCGCCTCTCCTCTGTCCAAATCCCCGCGCCGAAAATAGCCTTGAGATTGCTTCCGGCTCCCTCGCTTCTGTTATCTAGGTTTTTTTTTTACCAAATCGGTACCTTTGCGGTTTTTGGGAATCAGTCGCCGGGACTCGGGAGCGCTGCCGCGGTCTTGCCGCTCTGCAGCGGGGGCCTGCCCGGTCCCTCTCCCGCCCAGAGGGCGGCAATGATGCTGTGCTAGCTGGGTTATGCCCCACCTTTCGAAGTCTGTACTCTGTTAGCAGGTGACACTGGGTAATGACCCTCACTGGTAACCTGAAGCTGGCCCCAGTCTCAGGACCGCTTAACCTTTACATTTCTATTCCCAGCTTGTAAAAGTGATTAAACGTTCATCAGCTTGGATGAAGAAACAAAATAACACGTGCTGTAGCCGCCCAGGAATAACACTGTAAACATTTGATAGTATACTTTCATATACATTCTTCCCTGTGTTATTTTAAAGCTTATGTGCCTGAGCAGGCAGGATGGCCCCCAGTGCATTTCTGCGGTGTTACTCTAGGGTATAAGCTAGTCTTTCATTCACGCACGTTTCCCCCAGCTCAGTGGGCATGTGAGCAAATGGGAAGGTCATCAAGTTGTGTGCATTGTGCTCCATTCAACTGAATAACATCCAGACCCTTCAACTGGCCAGTAATATCCGTGGCCAGCTAGGTGCAGCAGGACAGGAGGTCTTTCTCATGGAGCAGTGACACTGTACGTCCAGTAAATTGCCATTTCATGATGGCATTTTTTTTCCAAGGGTTTGCATTAGCATGAATACTAAAATGTATCCATCTGTGAGACAGCTTGAATGTTGTATTTTCTCTGAAGCAGGTTCATATCCCCGTGGGTTGAGATGAATTTTTTTTTTAATTAAAAAAATAAATAACAATAAATGTATTTTTTTTTTTTTCTTTTTTTGAGTAAACATGCTGGTTAAGTTAACAGAACTTCGCCCACAAAGGCAGCCGTTGGTGCCTTGAGCCTCTGTTCCCTTTCTTTTTTTGGCTTGAGACTGTAGTGTTTGTGGGCGCATTAATGCCAGGCCTGGATTGATCTCATTACAGAGGAGATGTGCTTTTTATCAGTATTCGTCCATAGCTTTCAGCTTCTGTGGGGATTTAAAATACTGTATGACTGTTCTGATGGTTTGTTCTGTCAAACTGTCCTAGGGCTTAAAAAACAAAGGTTGAGTCTTCTTTGGAAGTAAGAGGCTTGCAGAAACTTGAAATGCCCTCATTAATGAAGCCTGCTCTGGCCTTTTGGAGACAAAGCCTGCTTGTGGACCTGGTTTGACCCCTTGCCTGTTTCCCCATACCACCATGAGGTTGGAAAATTCCAGCTTGGCCAGTGAATGAGGCACACTGGTCGCTTGTACGCCTTTCTGTAGCTTCCTCGCTCTGTTAAGAGCAGCGGTCTGGAATTAAAGTTGGGTCATACTTTGTTAACTGCCGTAGATGTCAGTCAGCTAAACTCATTCAGTCCGGGAATGGCTGCAACATCAGAGTTTGAATTTGTCACCCACCGTTGGTTCATCAGTAATGGTTAGTCTCGCACATGAATCATTTGTGGTTAAGTACGTGAGAAGATTCACTCTTCAGTACATACTGTATGATGTTGGGCAACCAACACCTGCATGGGTCTCGGCGACGGAATATTCCTTGTTTTTTCAGGGGGCACACGAGGGATTCTTTTGATGGCAGGAGTAAAAATGTCCTTAACATTTGTGTGCTACCTTTGAGTTGAGAAGGTTTATTCATATCTGCTCATAGATGAGATCATAGACAAATTACAGCTCTCACCGAGATGGGGCCCTCCGGCCTCTGAGGCATGCGGCTTGTTTGTTTAACCCAGCCTTTGATAATAAGCCTAAATTCTGATGGCCCCGTTCCGTATTTTGCAAGCTGGCCTTGTTCCAGATTTCACAGAACAAGAACTTTTCACTTATGCTGAGATTTGGATTAGCCAACGCTTCCTCAGAAGCACGTTGATGCCTGAATTCGTAAATTCACAACATTTAATCACTGACTAATTGTTGATTCTTTGGCATAATATATTAGAACTGACCCATCTTAATGTAGTGGACTGTAACAGTCCAGAGTGAAGTTAGTTAACCGACTGGGATGAGTTTATGAAAGTGCACCCATACCGTAGTAGTGATGGCAGAATTTATATGAATTTGTCTGAGGATCCACTGTTTAAACTCCATGTTACCCACTGGAGTTAAAAGAAAACATCACTCGATGTTCTGGTGTGACTTCCAAGGGTCTTGGATGTCGTCTGAGGAAGCTGACATCTGTCCTCATCTGAGATCTGAGTTTGGCGCAGTGTTAAGTGGTCTTGGGTTCCGGAACTCCTGAGGAGTTTGCCTGATCGCCTTTTGGTTGTCAACTGTTTGTAACTTCTTCATTTTGATCCACCATTCAGCTTGATACTGTACATCTATATTGTATATATTATCATCTTTCATTTCTTTTTTTTGTTTTGTTTTTTATTTTTCTTCATCTTTTTAACGTAGCATCGGTGGCCAGCACCTAGAGTTCTGTTGTACATGTACAATGATTTTCTGTCCATTTCAGCTCCGAAGACCTGCAGCCCCAAGCAGTTTGTGTGTAAGGACCAGGTGACCTGCATCTCCAAAGGATGGCGCTGTGACGGCGAGAAGGACTGTCCCGACGGCTCCGACGAGGCCCTGGACATCTGTGAGTCTTACACGCGTGTGTGAAACTTAGCATGTTCGTTGGTGGGGTGGGGTAGGGGTGGGGGCAGGGCGACTGGCGCAGTCTCTTCCAGCTGTTTTGCCGCCTGATCACTTACCGCGTTCCTGGCGTGTCTGGCCTTCGCTAAGATGGCCGGCGTCTGTTGGACACTGTGTGCTTTTTTTTTTTTTTTTCTTTCTCTCCTCCCTTCCCCGAGTCTCGTCCCTGAACCAAACATTCCCGTCAGCTCGCAGTGAGGCTGCGGCCAGGCCAGAGGTTTGCTTTGCTTGTGGCCAGTGCAAATGAGTTCATTTCAGAAGTAAAACGAGGCTTCTGTGTAAACGAATCTCTAAAAATAAGGTCATGGAATGCCTTTACATTAACTTCCTTTGGTTTTGGGGAGTTTTTTTCCACCTCAATCGGCTGGTAAAAGGGAGAGACGTGTTGGTGTTTGGGGGCGTTTTCAAACACAGCAGCACTGTGTTCAGTCAGAGGAGGGAGGTGTATGTGTGTGTGTGTGTGTTTGTATATATATGTATGAATGAAATTATTTAGAACACACCCGCTAACTCTGCCACTTTCCTTTACAATATGTCATGTACTTTAAAGTAGTAAAAAGATAAATACTTTGTATTATGAATCATGAAGCTACAATAAAAATGGCTGGACTTGTTTAATCTGAAACTGAAATGCATAATAATAGCAGAATTGTAAGAAAAATATCTAAACATTAAGTCCCTGTTGCTTAGTATATGATCCATTCCGTGACCTGTACTATGTGTGCCTAATATTAATAAAATACAAGTTAATAATAATCACTGATAATTGTGCAACGTTCTATATTTCAGAAACTATTTACTTAAGTTTTTTTTTCCTTTGCAGCCGCTGAAGTCCAGTGGTTATCTGATTAAAAATGTTCCCCCCTCCCAGGAACAGGTATTTCTGATAGCAGGGGTGAGGTTCACAGATTGTGGTCTTTACCTGAGACGCTCGGTAAGCTTACATGCACACCAAGAAAATCCAATTATTGTGTCAGTTCGACTAAAACCGGACTTGAAAAGTACAGGTAAACAAGTTAGTCTGCCTGAAATCGAATTTCTCAAAGTCATGCTAAGACACCCAGATCATGCGATTGGGAGTCGATTTACTCCTGCGTGTGTACGTTCATTCGGACTCAAACTGGCCTAGACACTCTGCGCATGCTCCACAGTCCCAACCTCCCCTTGGAGCAAAGCAGAGGATGTGCAGCACGTAGGAGACTTACGGCGCGATAAAGCTGGCCAATACACCGCTCAACCGAAGGGCGGTTTTACACTGCACCAGGTACCGTACTTTTGGTACTTCCAGAAAATACCATAAATACGGTACTTCGAGTTGTTGGTTTTCCACTGGTATAAAAACTGGTACCGGCGCGGAATGACATTACAATTTGAGGCAGGGTTTTTTGTACCGGATTAAAAAAATGGCTGTAGTATGACTGGAAGAGGTGCGATATTTATCCCAACATCGCATGTTATGCACATTCAATTCTTACATCACTAGTAAGCTACATTAATATCAGGCTTTTTCTTGCCTTCAGTTTGGTACAAATATTATAGCCAGGGAGATAAAGTCTCGCTAAAACATTTTTACTCTGTCATTGGGAAAAAATGTTAGCAAGTTTTGTAATTTTAATGAATATTCCATTTCATGATAATTTAGTGTATGTTTAAATCACTTTAAAGTTTGCATGAGCGCTGCATTGTTTCCCCAAGTTCATCCTTGCTGTTTAAATCACTCCTAGACAGGTTTGTGAGCAATTTATCTTAAACTCCTTTTTTGTGTCATACATACCCCAATGTTTATTACACCAAAATCAGATTGCAATATTTGAACAAATTCCAGTCCTGCGCTGTCGCAATATATTATACAAAATACTTTATTTATGTTATCCTGATCTTGTATCTGTCCTTCCGACCTGATTGCAATTAAAGCTTGTGTCACTTCATTTGCCCATTTTATTATATTTAATGTGACTTAATACATCAACCAGAAAAAGCCCAATACTAACAAGCTGAAAGGAGCCATATTGCCATCTATCGTAGCGGAGTCGGACGTACTTCGGTCAATATATCGATTTGCCTCCCGTACATGTCTACTGCGACACGGACGGTAGTCCGATTAAATGGTGTAGGCGAGCTATAACCATAGCTCGACTTAGCTGTGCATGTAAATGTACCAATTGTGGAATATTTTGTGATGGGGTCAGTAGCTATCTATAGAAATCCACCCCCCCACTCAATGTGGAAGACCTTACTGAATCCCAGACATTTTGTGAGGTGTCAATAACGTCACACCGTGTGAAATGAGCATTCTTCCCCAGATATTAGGAGTCACGGAACACCTGCGTCTCCTGGTTTTGTGGGGGTATTACCTAACTCTATCCTTTGACATGAAGAAAACTTGTAATTATGTTTGATATGACAGGAACGATGTAGGGATTAGCTAATTATTCTTAAAGATGGCAGGAATTACAGCATTATTGTTATCTGTGAAAGCCGTGTTCCGCTTGCCTACATTATCAGCCATTTTCAGCGGCTGAATTCCAGGAGCCTCATAAATCCTCGTCCTTCACATGATGTCATGTTGATTTGAGGCTGAGCTGCAGCAAGGCACTTTCGGACGTCATTATCCATGTTTCCATGCCCTGCCCACGATAATGTTCCTCCTGAAATGCATTCCTGGTTCCCCTCACCATTGGTCTGTCGTGGCTGTTATGAACACCAACTGCCACTTACTGACTTGGTATTCATAGGACTCTAACCATGCCTTTGCTGAACCCATGAATGAAATTGAATCTAAAACCTCATAAATAGGAGAAACAAGTTCTGTGCTGTGGCTTGAGTTATATCCCCTGTACCCAATGTGCTGTTAAAACAGAACTTAATTCGTTTTTATGCCACTGTAAAAGCATTCAGTTTAGGCAAACAAAGTAGTGTTTCATTAGCAAGGGGATGTCTCACAAGCGTGTTAGTGTATTTAATGGCCTGCCTGGTCATGCATTTTACTCAATTTATCTTCTGTGTGCTGTCAGCGATATTTATCCTAGAGCACGAAGAAGATGTGTTTTAAAGTCTCGCTTCTTGCCGGAGAGCTGGGATCTTCCCCTGGGAGAGAGCAGTGCTTGGGATCTTTATTTTCTGAACTTGTTTATGTCAGGTGTGGCCTAGTCAGAGCAGGGAGTGAACTGAAAGGGAGGCTAACTTCGAGTCTAGACGGGGGGTTGGGGGGGGGGGGGGGGGGGGGCCTGTGACAGTCTGGAAGATATTAAGAGGCTCACCCCAAGGAGAGGATAAGTGTGCTGAATTTCATGACTGCTTTTTCCATTTAAAGGGCACCCCTGCTGTAAGTCACTTAGTCCATCTTCCTCCTTCAGAAAAACAGCAGCGAGAGCGGCTGCGCTGTGCCCCGCCGACCGGTGCAGCCAAACAGCCTCGATTCATCACAACCCTCCTTTAACTGTCGGCGGGAGAAACTCAATCGCGAGGACAGTGGGGAGGAATGCATGAGAATTGGAGTTGGTCCTAACTGTGAACAGAGAACTGGATTAAAGGTCTAATGTATCCATAAATTCAGCACCCCCCCCCAAGACAGGGGGGAGCAGGGAAACTGTCAAAAGCCAGCGTGTCTTGGCAAATGGGTAGCGAGTGTCCGAGGGGGCTGTGACAGCGGCGACACTCAGGAAGTACAGGCATTTATTCATGTTTGGAGATTGTGAAATTTCTGTTGCAATTGTCAGCACTAGGAAACACAAATAAGCTTTGATGCTCATTATAGCTGGTTAGGCTTCCTGTAAAACTTGCTATAATGATGTACTTTGAGCTGGGTGGGGGGGGGGCATGCGGCCGAAAAGGGGTTGGGGGGGCTGAGTTTTCTACTCTGAGTGTGTAATTTTGGATATGACCACAAAGTTAGAACGTCTGGTCTTAGTGAAACAAAAACAAGCCTTTTGCATTGTTGGGCTATTTCAGGACAGGTTCTGGCCGGAAATAAGCAGCCTGTCGAAATGACGGCTCATGCGCGGTTCTGATCCTCCGGGCGTCGCGCTGCAGCGGCTCACGCACGGCACTTTTTTTTTTATTTTTTAAACACTTCGTGATTTCCAGTTTTTACTTCGGTATAGCTATTTCTGGTATAGTTATTTTTCTTGGGGTAGAAACTCGAGTTAATTACCTTTCTTAGGGGTATGATGGTCAGGCCCATCTGGGACCTAACAGCTTAGTTTTATTTATTCAATTCTTTTTTTTATTAGTCATACTTACATATTTTAGTAAGACTGAAGGACTAAGATTTGAAAAGTAAAAGTAGATCCTCGCCGTAAAAGCTGTAAGCTTTAAGCCGGAAGTTCATCCTTACCCCTCTGCTCTGGGTTGGAGTGCAATTTGGCAAAATGAATGAGCTTTGTGGTTATTTCTGTGAGGGCGGTGCAGGGAGTGATAGTGGAGCTGGGGGCACCGGTCTCTTCCAGAACCCATCCACACTTTTGCCCTTTCTGGAGCTCTCGCTGCTTTCAGCTCTGCACGGAACTTGTTTACTACCTTTTTAAGTAGATCAGCAGATCGATGGCAAAAACATTCCCGTCTTGAGATGTGGACATGGAAAAAGAAACCCTACTGTCCCTCCCCTTGCTGGGCATGTCTGCTGAATGTGTTTCTCCTTAACGCTGCTCCTGAAGTATCCCGGCCCTGCATACGGTGCCTTATAAAACGAGCCGTACTTATTTGATTCCCTCATGTGAGCTCTTGGGACGCTCATCTCGGAAACCTTCAGCTTCTCCACTGATAAGCTGTGGTGAATATTAGCAGAGTGAAGACAGGGCTGAAGTATGTTTTTGTGGTTGTCGTGTACTGACCTTGAGTGCCGCTCGCAGTGGAGGCTCCTGGGAGAAATTCTGGCTGCAGGCCTTCTTGAGTTGAGTCTTTGCCTACGGGCTCAGTGGGGTCTTTAGAGTTTCTCTCCTTAGC